ATTGGTGGCAGAAATTAGTGTAAATGCTGTTATTTTTCTCACACTCTCTTCCCCTTGGCTCTGCTTCACTGTACTAGGCTCTAATAACAGCTTGGTTTAAAAATCCCATGGATTATCCGGAGAAACAAGAGAGCATTGAAAAACAAAAACATCCTTGCCCCAAAAATGATTGGAGCATCATCAGAAAAACAACAACAAAGGGATTGGGTTGAGGCTCTTTAATGTGTCGGGGGGGAAAAAACAATTATCAGGAAAAGATCATAATCATCATCCTGTCTTCAATTTTTGACTTGACCCAATCCGCACACCCTTAGTGGTACATTCACACACAAATTCCCCCACTTCCACATCCACACATTAAGGAAAACACTCCCTTTTTTATAGCCTATTGTATAAAGCAGCGTAGCAGCTGGCTGGTTAAGTAATCTGTATCTGATTTGCTGTAATGTGCTCCCAGCCTGTAATGGAGAACAATTAGAAATTTAATTTGCCTGGGCAGTGATTGCTAAATCCCACATCTTTCTCCCACCCTGATTTATTTATTTTTTTTCCTCTCATCCCTCCTCCCCTTGCGCTTAACAGACGTGTGCCATTAGCGACAGATGGGAAAAGGAGAGATATTCACAGGCAGTCCGGCACCTTAGGGCTAGGAAGGGGATTTTGATGCCCCCACCCATGTGTTGAGTGTCCTCCAGCACAGCTTTAAGGGACTAGCTGTTGGGATTAGGAATCCGATTCATGGGTGCGGTGTGCAGACAAGAGTCTCCCTTCAATGTGAACTTATTCCCTGATCTTTAAGTAACATAATCAGATTACATTTTTGTGTTCAAACGGACTCTAATAGTTTAACCTTTTTAAATGTCTACTTTGTTTGCTTCATTATAGTAAAGGTCGGAGCTTAAAAGCTGGGATTTGTATCATCTTGTTCATTTTTGGTCTTTCTTTGGCTTTCACAGAGACTCTGTTTTGGTCATTATTGTTTTTACCGGTAATAGTCCTTAAAAATCAGTTCTCCTGCTAACTAAAGATAACGGCTTGTGTTTAGCTGTGACTCAGTCTCATCCTCAAAGTCACAGAGCATGGTGTACTACATGCAAATTAAATTTTTGATTCAAAATTAATTTTCCATCTTCAGTTTTTAACATTTAGATCAACTTTTTGGCTAATGCAAAGTGAGAAGCACAGATTGTATGGTAACTATTAGATCATTTTGAAGAACCAGGACTGTGTTCATTCTTTTTACTGAAAATCTCTGTTCTTACCACCCATAAAGGCAATGATAGAGGTCAGCATCATTTTAAGGGTTTTATAATTTATTATAATTACTTTTCCATCCTGATTGTTTGTTGTGCAACAGGAATGTTTTATGACTGCATCTTTCTGCTTCTTTTAAATGACTCCATGGTCAATAAGCAATCTCCCTCATTGTGTAACTAGGAAGTTGCACCATTAAAAACATTTCTAAGTTTCATAATAACATCACATATAATATATTTTGAAATATATATATATATATATTTTTTTTTTATATAGATGACCTATGATTCAGCTTCTTGCAAAAAAAATGTTTTTCTGTGTACCTTGATGGGAGAGAGACAGTTTTATTTTTAGCTGGATTATATTTAGATCCTTTGTTGTTGTTTTTTTTGTCTATTCTCACTCCAGGGGTGCTATCACAGGAGGTGATTAATTCTTACTAAAACAGTTTAGTTATGCAGTTTGCATAGTGTTTACAATGTAAAAACATTACTAAATATGTTTTTAACATGAAAAACTTTTTCTTTTACTTTAAAATTCATTTTTTTTGCCACTTTTGAAGGCATACTCTGTCTGATCAGCTTTTATTTTTAAGCTCTAATTGTCTGCCTACCTCAGTATTTCTCTCCAAGTCATACTTTTTAAGCTATTCATTTAAATTTGTTGCTGTAAAATATTTGTCGAAAACAGGAATGCTGTGCAGAAAGACATCTTAAAACAATGTTTTTTAAGGAATAAACTTGGTATTTTTTTATTTTTCCTTTGACTTATACCAGTCCAGATGACCTTAAATTCATAGGAGAAAAATATATAAATATATATAGTTGGGTTGGTTTACTGTGGAAAAGGCTTTAGTAATGATATTTGAGGTTAAATTGCTGGTTAGTTTTTCCCTTTTTTTCTAAAGCAAATCATTTTAAACCAGCATGTTTTAATAAATGTGTTTTTATTGACAAATCAATTGTGCTGTAAGCCTTTCCTCTAGTTGATTTCCATCTAATCCATTGTCTATTTTTTTAGGCGCAGGTTTAGTATCGCATTGCTTAATGCAGCCTTTATATCTCTTAGTTTTTGCTTTGCAGTAGGACTTGAAGTTCTCCTTGAGACTCCATCCACCTATCTAAATATTACATCTGCTTATGATATTAATGTTTATGACACTTGTAATATATTAGTCAACAGTTATTGCCCTCCAAAGGGTCCTTTGCAGTATGGATATTGCACAAAGTGGTGTGATCATGATATATTGAGCATCCTTAATTACTTTTCCTCTGTCTAGATCAGCTCTATTGACTGTAGGTCAACAGAAAGGACAAAAACAAGGGTTAAAGCTGCTGCCCTTAAATGCCCCCTAAGGCCTTTTTTGCCTCCTCCTGCCTCTCAGTCAGGGGTAATCAATTCCTCACCTTTACCACAGTCCTCTCCTTGGAGAGCCTTTAGTCTCCCTAAAGCCTTTCAGGGAACAACTGCTGTGGTCATGGTGTCAGATAGCATCCTTAAGCACAGATGGGCGTCTAAGTCAAATAGATGTATTTTTTTTTCTGCAAATTTAACTGTTCCAACATTATTGTATATGTGTTTGTACTGTTTTCTCATGTGAGGGGTCTTTAGGATGATATCGGACATTGATCCATCACTGGAAATTTATTTCAAACCAGGTTCTGGTGGGGAAAAGGGTTTCTTTAACTTTTAACAAATAAGTAGAAATAAGAGTTTATAAAAGGTTACTTTGCTTTTATAACCCCCAATGCACGGGTTAGTGGAGGTACAATTATTATTTTAGATTAGCAAGCTTATAGCAGTTTGGAACAGTGTTATTGAACTTAAGAACATGATTGTTTTTTTTTGTTTTTTTTTATGTATCTCTAAAGGGAAAAGACATTTTGCATATTAATGAGTAAAGAAAACACAATTCATTTATTTAACAAGAATAAAAACAATCAAATCTTAAAGGATGCCTTTGTTGTTGTTTTTTTGGCAACCAAATGTTCTGTTCATCTTGGAGATTCTTGTGTAAACACATCCAGTCTTTCCACAGCATAGCTCAGTAACACATCCACTGGTGTCGGTCTTGTCAGCCCTGGGCGTGCCCTTATTTATGGGTGTTGACTTTGTTTCCATTTACCCGTATGTGTGTGTTTGAGAGGGAGAGAAAGCTTCGCACATTTGAGTGTTTCCATTTAATCTTCTGGTTCCAGCTTAAAGCGTTGTTTCTCTCTGGAGATTAGAGGATGTCTGAGTTTTCATTGGGGAAATGGTCTCTTTTCGATCCCTAAATATAAACTGAATTGGGACAGGGTGGATTTTTGCTCTGTTTCTTTTTGTTTGCGACAGTCAAGTAGCTTTCAGTAAAGTAGGGTTAATATAATTTTTATACACTAAAATCAAGAATAATAAAAAAATATATAATTTGTTTACATATTTAACATAACTTTGAGCTTATTGTTTAGGTCGCAGGCTTTTGGGTTTTCTATGCCTATAACATATGAACTTTTTTTAATAAGATAAAAAGGTGGTAAAGTCGCAGGACATGTTTTACAGAATCCCCTCCATTCCTCTTGTATTGAATTTCACATCTGAAAACATAGGAAACTCAGGAAACAGTATAAGTACTGCTGTACCTTCTCTGCCACCAGGTGGCGCCAAGCTAGATTTACTCCAACTACTTTCTGGTTCTTAGTTTCACTGAACTTGGTGTTCATTTACATCTCGGTTTACACAGGTGCTTCAATGTTGTGTCAGATGTGATGGATTTAGATGGTGTCCTCTTGCCCGATGGTAGCTTTAGAGGCTGGGGGGGGGTTACAAAGGTACACATTACACATTTAGATGGTTTTCTCTCACTGTAACAAAACAAAGGCTCTACTAGCTGATATGACCATGCTGCCATTCTGTGGATAGAAACCTGATTGACTCCGGGCTTCTCCCTCATCCTGTGCTTCTTGGCTGGCTTAGATATCTTAAGATATCTGAATCTGCCATTATCAAAAAGTAAATGAACTTGGAGAAGGATCCAGACCTACTGCCAGATAGAACTGTTACTAGTGTGGAAAGGGGAGGGTTTAATGAGCACGAGCTGATCGAGAGGAATTGGATCTATATGATATTTTTAATCCTCAACACTGTAGCAGGGCTTCCTCCATCTAACTATTCATCTTGATCCATTTTCCTCTTCATCTGGTATGAGAAGCTGCAGAGTTTCAAGTAATGCTGAGCTTTAATTATAAACACTGTATGTCAACTTGACAAAATTTTCTTTTAAAAGCTTGTTTGACCTTATGGCAGCTGACCAGGCAGGGGTTTAAATCTGCTTAATGAAATAGCATAATGTGCCCACAGCAGAACATTAATGCAGCAGTTATTGTTACACTGACAGTCTGTGTAAATTTATTTATGCAATGTCTAAAAGTTAATACTTAGGGTTATACAACTTATAAATGGAACAAGGGCTCCAAAGGTAAACAGTTTGTTTATCGACTCGGCGGGTACATGAAAATCTCTGCATTAATTAAAAATTAAGATACACATCCCCGACTTGAGGCAAGCAAAACTCTGTTTACTTGCATAGCATGTAATTACTTTTTTATCTTGCATTATTTAATATGGATTATGAAGTCAAATTGGCTTCCAGGCTGCAACAGGGAGTTGCTTATGTAATCCAGAGGAACGGGGCTCAAAGCCCATCCTTCTCCCCTCCAGACGCAGCAGATAAATGTTCATGTCATTGTGTCCCGTGTCTTTAGGTTGTGCGCCTCCACACGGAGTGCAGCATGGAAGCCTGCTGAACCAGACCGAGTCCAACCAGGCCTCCTATCCTCCTGGCTCCCAGCTTACATACGGCTGTGATCCAGGATACACACCAGATGGACAGGCTACCATCTTTTGCACCAGCCAGGGAGCTTGGTCCAGTCCACCTCCAAACTGCATCAAAAACTATGGTGAGCAACGACCTTTATTGTTAAGAGAAATATAATTTAATGTTAATATTTAAAGAAATAATTCCTCTCATCAATAACCCACAAACATTAATACTTATTATTGCACCTTGTTATTATTATACGTTTTATTGACTTGAAGTGTTCTTTTTGGTGGATTATGCTTCTTTTATATATTTATAGAATCTATTAAAGCTCAGAACAGCTCATCTTAATGTGTTTGTCAGGTAAGTTTTGCCTTTTAAAATTGAGCTTGAGCACCTAGATAGAAATTCCTCTACACCATGGTACTTAACGTTACAATAACAATGACAGAGAGGTGTGTCCTTGAGAGCTAGCAGGAAGCACTGTGTCATTTTAGGTCAACTTTAAGCTTCGATTTCTCTCCACAGGTAGAAATAATCACCAGCAGACTTCCTGAGCACAGTAATACCCACCACATGTCTATTTCATTTCATTCTCTCCAGTGTGTTCACCACCCCCTGAACCAGAGAACGGAGGCTACCGCTGTCACCCGACTCCCTGCCACCACCTCGTCCATAACACCGTCATCGAGTACTTTTGTGACGAGGGATACACGATGAAGGGAGACTACAAATACCTCACCTGCCTGGATGGCGAGTGGGACAGTCACATGCAGATCAGCTGCAGACTCACACAAGGTCTGTTAGCTCAGCCAATCTCCTTTCATTTTCATTAGTTTTATATTTTTTTGTTTGTTTTTGAAAAAAAATAATATAATATACCCGCTATATAAAAGTGAAATAAATAAGTGCAGTCACTTTCTACAATTTGAATAGGTGATATGTTTAAAGTCTTGACTTGACAGATTTTGCCATGGATTGTTTTAAATATTTTAAAAAATGTTGGTTAAAAATAAAGATATCGCTGGAAATTTGGCTGTTTTACATGAAAACGGTCTAGCACTCCATGATAATGGTACAATCTGTTTACCGTTTTTATCTTGATCTGTTCTCATGGCTCATCCAGACAAGGAGCCCAGCTTGCCTTTGGGGATGCCAGCTCTGTCCATCGTCTTGACCACAGCTAGCTCTGTGTTACTCATCCTGCTCTTAGTCGTGCTGTTTGTTCTAGTACAGCCGAAACTCAAGTCCTTCCATCACAGCAGGTAAGATTAACAAAATTCCCTTTTCCTTCATACCTTGGTGATAAATTCCTTTTTGTACAGTTAGAGAACCTGAGACTGATTTTTATCCTGGGCATAGTTAGTAATTATTAGTTTTAACATTAGAAGGACCAATTGTTTTCTGCTGCTGATCTCAGTTTTGATTGACTCCTGTAGCTCATGTATGACTTGTTCTGCAAGCTTTCATGTCTGACATTCCTGACCCATGAATATGTAAACACTTAAATAGTTCATGTGATCACATTTGACAGCTGTGTCTGCTGGGGCTCTGTGGTTGAAAAGCCAGGATGATTTGATCTGATGCTCACTGGCACTCATGTTGATTGTGTAATAGGCCGGGGAGGGGGGGGCTTTCTGCAGCCTGCTTTAACGGGATCTACAGGCAATACTAATCGCTTTGATTTTGCTGTATGTTGCATCACATCGGACTGTAACCCAGAACTGAGTTTTGTTTTTGATCCACATTCACCACACTGATTTATTCTCTTGGTCTGTTTGGTCTTTAGGAGGGAGCAGGGCGTCTCAGGTCAGAGCAGCTCCATTATGGTGGAGGGCGTCCAGGTGTCGCTGCCCTCCTATGAAGAGGCTGTTTATGGAAGCAGTGGCCCCTCTGGTGCTCCTCCTTCTCCACCTCCACCTGTAGCTCCATCAGAGTCCCGGGTCCCCATAGTACTCTCCGAGGGGCTTCCTCAGGGAGCCACAGGGGGCCAAAACTCCAGCAGGAGCTGCCAGCACAGAGAATTAGACTTCTGTTTGCCATCAACATCATCATCCTCCTACTCCTCCCACCGTCACGCAGAGACAGTGTTGGTTCATCAGGCCCCCTCGTCCTCCTCTTCATCTTCATGGGCCAGAGAGCCCCTTGTTGGTGCTTGTGCAGGCCCCCAACCTCGTAGAGACTCAGAGAGCAGCGACCAGCACAGCCTGCTTTCTGTGGCATCTGTAGATGAGTTTGCTGACGGTAAGAGGAAGTTTTCTAACTGTGCTTATTATTTACTAAATAGTGAAACATTATAAACTGAAATCTAATAAAACATCAAAATCTGTATGAATATTTTTTTAACAGAATTACCTTTTAAATTCAAACATGCTTATATACATTTAGGACTGGCGAATAAGCTTGATGTTCTGCATTCCAGCTGATGAATCAACTGTTATCCTGTTCTGAAATGACTCTTCTGTTCCCCTGCAGATATCCCTCTGTTGAAGGAAGCATGAAGCCTGTGGCCCGCTATCAGCAGCAGCAGCAGCTCTTTTGCCTATCTGTCGCTACTGTCTGGAACTGACTGTGGCTATCTATTTACTTCCCGAAACTCTCCTCCGTTCTCCCAGCAGCCAGCAGAGAAAAGGGCTGGAACAGTGCTCAATTTCCTAGCAATCCTCCTACTGCTATTAGCATTTCCAAGCAAAGCCAACAACCAGTACGATTACAGCAAGAAGAGCAATGATGGACCCACATTCTGGATGAAACCAAGAAAGGCCAGATGCATTAAGTGGAAACATATTGACGTAAATTCTGTAGATCCTGTGAATAAAAGTAATTACTGAGTCAGGATTGTTTATCATACATATTACCATGGACTTGCCTCTGGCCCAGTGTAGTTATCTGTATTCCCACTACGAATAAGAGTTTTTTTTTTTTTTGTTTCCCAAAAAAAGCTCATCAGCTCTGTTCAGGATTTCTGTTGATGTTTTAAAAAAAAAAAAAGGAAAAAGTTTAAGCGGTGAATTTTGGCTCTTAAAGCTTTGGCGCTCAGACCGTCTTCCCGCTGTACTTCAGAAGTCGTGAGTCATGCCTGACTTCCTTGTGGCCCTCTGCAAATGCTGCATGTTGTTTTTCAGTTTAATGCTGTCACGGCACACTGAACGAAGCATGAATCCTCCTCTCTCTTTCTCTTGCCGTGAGTTCATCATCGCCGTCTGGCAAACGGATTATCAGGAGTGACAACCATGTCACAAAAGCTAAAAGCGGCGCGCTGCATTTCGTCGAGCACCATATCACAGCTACAAAAAGATCTGCTTCTCTATTTGTTCCCGTCCCGCTGCTGCCGTATCTAGACGCATGAGGGGGATCGATTGGTGCCTCGGCTGCGCATCTTACAGTTTTTGTACAAGGGGGGTGAAGTGAGAGAGGCCTGTTGTTGAACAAAGAAATTGAAGGGTTATCTAAACTTTAACGTTCTTATCAGTTAATTTTCTCCTCTCTGTATTTATTGTTTGTGTGTGACTGTTTGCTTTGAGTTGCTGAATCTGAGCGCGTGTATTTCTTTTTTTTTGTTTTGTTTTGTTTTGTTTTATGTAACCAGACAGGAGAGAACAGTCCTGATATGGTAGGCCTTGATACACCCCTTTCCTGGTTTGTATGTGGGCCGATCGAGACCGGCCTGACAACGCCCCAGTCTTTCATCATAGGAAAATATCCCTCCCAACACTTAAAAAAAAAAAAAGTCACATGGATGATCTAGCTTCACTTCTACCATTGTTTTTTTTTTCAACACAATGTGGGTATTATTTATCCGCTCTAAAGCTAGAAAACTTTCCCCCTCCCCTGTATGGCTGTAAATCGCCCCTATCCTTAAAGGAACTGGCTCTCATCCGTTTTCTTGCTGAAATAAACACTCTCCACTGTTGTAAAATTGTGGAAAACAAACTGCAACTGGTTGCAGTAAAATAAAGAGGAAAGAAATAAAAAGTTTGACAGCAATATACCCTCCATCACATCAGCTCAGTCCTCTAACACCAAGTGCAAATAAAAGATAGAAAACATGTCCTTCTGTTAGAATTCATCATCTGTTTTTTATTGACACTTGAAAAGCCTTGTTGCTTGAGTCAGTCACCCTGGAAACGGCATGGCTCAGGCCAACGCTGATGATTACTTTTTTTCTTAGCTTTGAAAACACACAAACTCACATGAAATCTAAAATATTTTCTTGTTTTCTTTTTTTGGGGGGTGGGGGGTGCTGTCTGTCTGTGGCTTCATAATTCATGCAAACAAAATGTTGCCTTAGATTACATTTTCTTTTCTTTTTAATATGTATAATCTTAAGCCTCCAAATTGATTGCTTTACAGTTTTTGATTTTTTTTTTCTCCAATTGCCTTACTCTATTTTTTTCTATTCTATGCATAAAACAGTTTTATTTATCAATGTGTTTTATTTCTGTTGGCAAAAGTAAAAGAATATCTCTGTCTGTCCCCCCACCCCCCCGATTACCACCAACTGTGATAAAGATTATAATTATAACAATGAGCCTAAAAGAACCTATATTTCATTGCCTTTTGGCTTCTTTTGCCGTAAGACTTAATGTTTTTAAGACGACTGGAGGGTTAAAAAAGTTTCTAAAAAGCACTGTTGTACGGTGTTTATTCCCCCAGAGATAACAGGTTCAAATGTCCCACCTGGATTCTTGATTTCCATGCTTTAAGCTTTGTTCTTTTCTCTCTGTACATGGCAGTGGGTGTGAAGATAGTAATTTAATATTTGTATAAAGTTTAATTTAATTTTACAGTCTGTATATAACTTTCTAATTAAAGCTTTCTTTCAAATGTGGAAGGTGTGGATTTTGTTCGGTGTCCTATCATTATTGTTTGTGCTAAAATACATTGAGCCAGTTGGATAAAGGTTCCGGGAACACATAATCTCTAAAAGTATTTTACATTGGCAGTGATTTCACTTCAACTACAAAACTGAATGAAGCTGCACGGTAACTCTGTAGGAGCTGCAGAGATCATCAGCTCAAGTGGGATAAAATGTCCACAGGATACTTTTTTATCCAGCTCCTCGGAAATATGACAAAAAAAAAATTAGAGAAGCCCTAAGAAATCTGATTTAAAGTTATTAATCAGCTACTGAGGGGAAAATAGCAGATACATGGTCATTAGATCAACATCATGCTTTTGGAAAGGAAAGCTGTTCAGGGTTGATGGTGAAGAACTTTTACGCTACATACAGGGAAATACTGGAAGAAAGATTGTTTTATATAAATACCTAGACCTGCAACAAAATGGTTTATTATAAAGGTCACCAACTCTGATACAAAATGATCTAAAAGACCAGAATTAATTTTTTAAGCTAATAAAGGTGCCCCTTAAAAAAAATCCAACCATTCTAGTAATCGGTGGAGCTCAGTTTTCAAACCTAGGATCAACTCTGATGAACACTGCAAAGCTAAACACCTGGCACCCCTTTTTACCTGCAGTCACTATTGAATATCACCAGAGAAAGGCGGCCTTTGGTCCTGATCCGCATCTCTAAACCAGATGAGCATTTGCAATATGAGTGGTTGATATTTGTAATTAACATGGGCAATCAAAGGGTTTTCAATTATCACCATAAAAATTCTACTTATATATAATTAGAATATCTTAAGGACAACTCTGAGCATAATTTTTATCAGACTGTCTTACAACAGTAAAGTGTTTTAAAAACATTTCAATATATGTTACAGCTTTCAATTACAGCGTTTGTCACTGAGTGACCTTCCAGGTTTTTATTGTGGTTTTTAAAGTAAATATTTCTAAATGCTCTGTGTTATTTGGCATGTCAAAATAATTGACACAAGCATGTGTCTGCATTTGATGTTGGCATTCTTTGCAGTCTTTTTTTTTTTTTTTAGAAATTACATTAGATAGACAAAATTAATAAATGTATTGTAATGTTGTTGAAATCCTAGATTTCTCTATAATTTTACAAAGGTTTGTAATTAATTCAACTTTATTGATCTTACATTGGAGAAATTTACCTCTGCACATAACCCATCCCCTTGGGGATCGTAGGGCACCATTGGGGGCGATTAAGGGTCTTGCTCAAAGAGCCAGAGTGGAGGTTATGGGAGTGGGTTTCGAACTCACAACCTCAGAATTCCTATGCTGTAACCACTAGGCCGCCACTCCCCACAGTTGGAGGTTTTAGTGCAAGCCAAACCACTGCAGGAGGCCCTTCCTGCCATCAGCATCTAACTGAACTATATGAAACAACTTGGTTAATTTAAGTTACATTTCATTTTTCTTTGGAATTATTTTTGAATTGGATGCTAGAATGATCCAGGCCTAAATACAATTGAGAAGCTGTAGCTTGGAGATTCACATTAACTCTTTGCTTTCCTAACCTATTCTTAGTAGCTTGTACTTTTTAAAATGATTTATTTCAGTGAACTCTATCGTGCCTTTCATATTTCATTGTCTGGAAGACACTGGTAGATATTAAGTTAGTTGTATTTTAGTGCCACCCAATGGTTAGAAATATAACTGCAGCAATTAAAATGTATTTCCGGGATTATGGCGTCACATTCGGAAGACTTCGGAAAGTCTTTCGACTTTTTCCGCGTTCTGCAGTCTCTGCTTTCGCAATAGGTCACGTGGTCTTTTTTTTTCCTTTCAAAAGGCTCCGCCCTGCAAGTGCACAGGCACCATTTTGTTTTATTCATCTTTGCAGTCGACGGTTGTAGAGATAGACTTAAAACAAAATAAGTAATAGCTGTGTGATTCACTAACGGTAAGTTCTTAAAGTTAAAATTATCTATTTTTTTCTAATAACAATTCTGCGTGGATAGCGGTAGCGCTATACATCGTTTTACCGTTATTTTTATGCATTAGCTTGTAGTACAGTTAAGGCCCAGTCGTTTACTAGCATATGTGCGGCAGTTGTTAACGGAAAAAAATGAAATAATAATAATGTTCTTATTTCCAGTTGATTAAACGAAACTTTCAGCATGAGCGGATGTCGTATATTCATCGGCCGCCTGAGCCCGTCGGCCAGAGAGAAGGATGTGGAGAGGTTTTTCAAAGGATACGGCCGCATTCGGGACATTGACCTAAAGAGAGGCTTCGGCTTCGTGGTGAGTCACCGCGATGGAAACTAGGTCACGACTAAATTGGCGCGTTGTGAGCTCAAGAGTATGTAATCATGGTTGGATTGAATTATCCTTAAAATTCCTCACGCATCCTGCTACTTATAAGTATTTTCTTGTGGTATTGTGGGGTTTTGTGCAGCTCATAAGAGCTTCTACTTAGATTGCTTAACCCCTAACACACACACTCGTTTTGCCAACTTAGTGAGGACCATGTATTTGACTCCCATTGACTTCCATTATTTTCAGTCATTTTCAACCCTTTATATGCCCTAAACCTAACCATTACCAATGCATACCTCACACTAACCAATTGACACCTTAACCCCTAAACCTACCCATTAGAAAAATAGCAAGTGAGGATCAGCAAAATGTCCTCACTTTGCAACAACTGGGCCTCAATTTGATGGTGAAATTGGAAAAATTGCCCTCACTCTGAGGTCTAGAAGGGTACACACACACACACACACACATCTGTTCTCTACATGAAGCACCACCCTGACATTTCCCATAAGTCAAAAAGAAAAAGTTCCCAGTTCAGACCTCCCTAGGGAACTCAAACATTGCGTGTTGTCAGTTTTTACTTTTTTAAACCATGTTGCCACAGTTTTGGTCTCCTGACCAGGGGCTGAGCTAGATTGGGGGGCCAGGGGTGGCCATGGCCACCCTACCATTTTTCCCCCCCCCTCTTATATAGATGGTGGCTGCAGTAATACACTCAAGTAGAATATTAATAATCTTCATATATTCACAATTTCTTGACAACAAAAACACTGGTTATTATGTGGTTAATGTGGTTATGCACATCAATATACTAACATTAAAGATGATAAATACAGAATTCTTGCTCTTTTCAGAACTAGATTTTGTCTTATGGGGTAAAGAAAATATGTGTTTATGCAAGTCATCTAGGAGTCTTCAGTGAAATCATAGTAGGCTATTTTAATAAAAACTTAATAAGCAATTTATGTAGATGTTAGTACTTATAAATATAAATTTTATGCAGAATGATTATTGATAAAAGTATGTAGGTAGGTAATGACAATGGAAAAAATGTTTTCCCCAGATCTCAAACCTGAAACAATTTTATCCATTATACCTTTTATCTAGAAAGCATGGATGTTTAAATATATGCGTCCATTTGTTTTGAAAGGCTGTAGGAAAGTGTAGTTTGTCTTTATTTAGAAAATATGGATGTTTTGCTCGTTAATTTTCCTGTTGGACCTGTAGATTGACCGTGAGGTTCTGGCACTGATCCACTATCGGCCACCCCTCAGTGTACACTGGGTATTGCCTGGCCACCCTTTTAAAAAGGTTCTGGCTACGCCTCTGCTCCTGACTATCTGATAAATGACTACATCTGATATTCTGTAGGAGTTTGACGATCCCAGAGATGCTGAAGATGCTGTTTATGAACTCGATGGAAAAGAGCTGTGCAATGAAAGGTGAGGTTTTCACACTTTTTAAATACATTTGTTGTGTTCTATTCCATGTACACCCTGTTCTTTCACACCATGATAGATTACTACCTTTGAACACTTTAGAAAAAGACTTGTAGTCCTTAAAGGCAACACTGAATAGTGCATAAGGAAGTGAGATTAAAATCATGTCCGGTTTTGATTATTATTATTTTTTTTTTTGTTACAAATTAAAATCTGAAAATTGTATCCATTTCCCCTGCTTCATGCTTTACAGTCAGCTGCCTTCAAATATGGCTGCTGCTCATATTTAATCTGAAAAAAAGTTGCAGTTTTATACCCTTTTATCAGCTGTTTATATCTGACAAAAGTAGAAGTGAGAAGGGATTTGAGTAGAAGTAAAGTAATTGGTAAAAACTACTCAAGTACTGAATAAGGAATTTATTATCATAATTTAAGAACAATGTTATATGCAAATTCTGGTGTTTCGAAGAATGAGAATTAACATGCAATAATTATACATTAATATTCATAAGGAACACTTCAAGATGCATTGAGATAAGAAACCTAAAAAATTAATGTATGTTTAGCTACAGTGTACTGTTATTCACAGACTGAGCAGATGGAAAAGAACATCAATAAGTCATTGTGTAATTCTCTAATACTGACAGTTGTGGCCAAAACAAAAAACTGTAGCCCTCTTCTTTAAACAAATAATAACATAACATTACTGAATATGGGTAACAAAAATCAACAACAAAGGGATAACATGTAAAGTTGACAAATGAGTGACCTAAACTTAAACATAAACAGAGTTTCCGCTGGCAATAACTGATTGGAGGATCCCTAATATAAAGGGCCACAGCTAGAAATATAAAATCTAATCATAGTCCCCACTCTGCAAACCTGGTCTGTATTAGATGAAAGAAATCAATTAAAGGTCCAATTTTAACATTGCCAGCATGTACTTGAGTCTGCAAGTGTGCAAATATTCCAAGCATGAACCAAAGGTGATGTACAGATCTAAAAGTAAGACCTTTTAGGGGGTATAAATGCAGCCTACCCTTTGTTCTGTTTCATAATTCTATGTTTCATTTATTTCTTTAACACTTTATGCTCTGATCAAGATTTTGGTTTAAGTTTAAGGGTTGTGTATAATTTTTATGGCCAAGCTCTTATTTGCAACTAAAACTTCAGACACACAGCTGTTTAGTTTTTGTTTCTTCTGAACCAACATTCCATTTTAATCACAGAGTCACCATTGAACATGCTCGTGTGCGCCTGCGGGGTAGCCGTGGACGAGGAGGTGGCGGTGGAGGAGGACGCTTCTCTGACCGCTATGGAAGAGGTTCCCAGAACAGTCGGAGGTAAACAGAGGAATTGAGCAGCCTTGCTTATTTGGCTTTGGGGCATTGGGCAACATTTTTAAAGCTTTATATCTGCTTCCAGCCGAAACCCTCCTCCAATGCGCACCGAGAACCGTCTGATTGTGGAGAACTTGTCCTCCCGTGTGAGCTGGCAGGTTGGTGTTGCCTTTTAATTTCACAGCTTTTACAAATGATACCACCTGCATTTATCTGATTCCAACAATACACATAACATTTTAGTATTGGCTGCTAAAAACATACTTTAAAATTAAATTGTAATATCAGACTTAGCTGGATCAGTTGGTTTTAGTAAAACTGTGATATTTTTTTATTGAAGCCCAGTTTTATTTCAGAATGAAAATAAAAATCTGAATTTTTTTTATATGCAGTTAAATAAAACACAAAGAAACAAAACACCAAATTTATTGTTTTCAAATTTTAACCAATTCTCCACCCCTTTATTTGCCAGCTTTGACTGTTGTGTCATGTGGAAGAGCTCGCTTATGGTGGATTAAACCCCTTCTGGGTCCTTCTGTCTGGGTTGAGCCTGTGCTGTCAGCCAGTGTGTCCTACTCCTAGTTGATGCCTGCTGGTCATGTGAGCGCTCGCTCCACACTAGAGGCGCTGGCGGCCCTTCGCTCGCTCGCAACGCCTGCTGTGTGGTTGAGGGCGAGAGAGAGGAAACAGAGTTGGCAGAGAGAAAGCAGAGGAGAGAGCGAATCGATGGTGGTGGCGTATTGATCGATGGTTCGTTAATTTGAGGGGCTTCGATCGATCGATATCCCCCCTTCCTTCCTTCCCCCCTGTGGTGTCCCCGCACATCGTGAGAGACAGAGTGTGAATTCCTCCCAGGTGCCCGTGGATATAATCTGCTGTTATCCTGGTAATGGTGGGCTCGGAGAGCCTGCGGCCCACCTCAAAGGGTATCGCTCTCAGGTAGTAGTTTCCTCTCTTCCACCCTGTTCACTCTCTTTACCGAGGTGGGGTGCCGAGATGGGGCGGTCCCGGCGCCGAGCACCTGTGCCCTCCCTGTCGGGGGAAAAAGGGGCTCTTGGTGCCAGATGCTGCCAAGTTGATGAAGATGGTGATCATCTCTGTAGTTTAAAGGAGCGATGAGTTCAAAGACCTCAATGCTGTTGGAATAAACCGACCTTTTGCTGCAGTGATCCTTTACAGGAAGGGTTCACATTACATTTACTGCATTGTATTTCTTATTTTCTTTTTGTACTTATAATCTTATGCTAACAGCACCGAGTCGGTAAACAGACATTCAGTGTCTTGAACTCATCCTGTTTAATTGCTGTAACCTGTGTAGTTCTGAGACTCTAACAATCTCTCCCTTTGAGTAAATCAGTTCATGTCTCAGCTGTGCTTGTTACTCTCCAAACCCTTCCGAAATCTTACCTGAGTTTGCATGTGTAGGACCTGAAAGATTTCATGAGACAAGCTGGAGAGGTGACATTCGCAGACGCACATCGCCCAAAACTCAATGAAGGGTAAGACCACAGCTGTCATCTAGGCGTGATGTGTCACTGCTGAAGAGTTTATACGTGAAAGGTAGTCTATTCTAAAAGCTTTTTTAAATTTCTTTACAGGGTGGTTGAGTTTGCCTCTCACAGTGATCTGAAAAATGCTATGGAAAAACTTTCTGGAAAGGAAATCAATGGAAGGAAAATCAAACTCATTGAAGCTGCCAAAAAGAGGTGAGTCTCCTGCATAAGGCACAACTAGAAGCTTTATAATGATGCTTCAGCGGCGGGAAAAAAAATTTCTTTTGAATTCCTTAAAATTAAGCAGCATTCTGAATTAGTTTTTTAAAGAAAAATGTAAATATTTTTTGGAAATTGGCCCCCCATAATAATTAATTTTTCAGCTCTAACTTTCAATTGTTTCTAATTCTTTTTTCTTTATTCTTTGCAGGTCAAGAAGCCGTTCCCGCTCGGACAGCTCTTCCCGCTCTCGCTCCCGTTCCCGCGGTCGCTCCCAGTCCCGTGGCCGCTCACAGTCCCGCGGCCGCTCCCAGTCACGCTCTCCCAGACGTTCCCGAAGCCCCGCCAAGGCCCACCACCATTCCCGCTCCCGTTCTCGTTCCCGCTCCCGTAGTGGCACGCCTGCACGCGGCGCCTCATCGCCAAGCCCCAAATCCAAGGAGCCCAACAAGCGCTCATCCAAGACTAGCAAATCTGTAACTCCGTCCTCGCCTCCGCCGGCTCAGAGGGCCTCCAGATCCCGTTCTCGGTCGAGATCCCGTTCACGTTCCCGTTCTCGCTCCAGGTCTCCTCGTTCCCGCTCACCTCGCTCCCGCTCACCTTCTACTGACAGTCAACGCTAACTTGGTAAAAATCCGCAGTAGAAGCAACTAGGAGGGGTTGGTTGAGGCAAACTCCCGTTGCCTCCTTTGAATACGGAGAGATGAATTTTCTTCAAGCAAATTTAGTTTTTGTTTGGATTGTTCTTGTGACTGTCCTCAAGTTTTGTCTTTTTGTTTTTACCAACACATTAACGGTGATAAAGAAATTCATTTGAATTTTTTTTCTCTTTACAATTTTTTTTTTTTGTTTTCTTATCGATTGGCAGATTATTTCCAGAATGCTTTGTGTTGCCTCAGCTCTAGAAATCGATCCATTCAAGAGTTATGACTCAGCAGTTTAGTTGATAAAATAGTAAAAGGAGCTACCGTAACATCCAGGTTACAGATCCTTAATAAAAAAAAAAACTAAAAAAAACTTTAAAATGGCTCGAACTATCGGACCCTGACTTTTTATTCCCCTCTTTTTTTCTGCATCAGTGGAATATTCACATCCTGCCTCCTTGTGCAGGATTTTCCTCCTTTCCCATCCACCTGCAGCTGTCGAAGCTTGCACAAAACACATGTTCATGCTTCTGTTTTAAGGCAATGAAACCTCAGATTTGTGCTTAAAGCTGAAACACGAATAGGCCTGGCATTGGCAGCTTCCGTACCATGCTCACATCTGTACAGTTGGACATTTCTCTGATTAAAACCTGTAAATTAACTTCATGTATGCTACAGTTTTAATGGGTTCACTGTTTGATAATTTTGTACAGAGGCAAAACTTTTGAGGAAGAAGCTAACCGTTCAGTTGCACTCTGTAAGTGATCATGTTGCTTCCTGGAGTGATGTTTCTTAAATCAGGAGTTTATGTACATACTGCAGCCTTCTGTTAAGTGTTAAAGTATACATGTTACCGCTAGGGTACCTTGGCAGATGTTTTGTGGGTGATGAACAGGTGATCCGAGGGAAAGGTTTTGGGTTTTTTTGTACATGAGGATTTTTATTTTCAGTGAACATAGATGTTTGTATGGTGTATTGAAAATAGACTTGATGAATAAAACAATTTTATTAAACCCTGAATCATCTTTATTAGTGTACTATGACATTTACAAAACCTTATTCCACTTGTTTTACAGTTTAGAATGTGTAATGGCATCAGTGCCTCGATCAGGCCGTCTCTTCTGATAAATCCTTCAGCTTTTCTTCTGTCAATGTCTGCTGGTAATTCTCTGTAGATGGAGATGCAGATCTGTTAGTACGGGTATATTTTTCACTTCCTGTTTCTGTGGAAAGCGGGTTGAATTTAATGCTGCATATGAATATTCTAAATCTGAAGTAAAAAAAAATGGCAGGGCGATATGCAATTAAACTTTTGTCACGATATTGGGTTATATCATTGTGATACTAATAAAGTTGACAATAAAAAATAAAAACACTTCAATCTTAACTGTATGGCTGGGACCGGTCACTACAGCAAACAGCCGCCAAATTATTACTCTTGAATAATCACATTTAGCTTCTTTAGGACACCAGATATATATCCAAGCATCTAGAAACTGCTTAATATTCTTCAAATTTGCTAATGCCCTTATGGAAGAAAAAAAATATAATCTAACAGAATTTTTAAGAGTTCAAGAGTTTTTAAATTGTCAGTGATTATAATTTATTTAAACAAATCAATAAAGAACTTCTAATCTCGATTAAAACTTCTCATGATAGGAGCGTGCAGGTGGCACAGTGGTTAGTGCACAAGACCCATATATGGAGCCCTTAGTCCTCAACATGGGCGACCCGGGTTCGAATGTGACCTTTGGTGCTCTCCCACATGTCTCTCCCCTCTCATACTGTCAGAAAAACAAGCCACTAGTGCTGTAAAAACTCAACAAAAAAAAAAACGTATAAACATAAATGCCCACTACTATTCTCCATGGCGTCTGTAGTCACTGTTATAACCAGTACTACATTGATATTCACAGCACAGAGACATCTTCTAAATATAAATAGCCCCTAAACAACTAATATTATCCAACATGCAAAAGAAAAGAAATGTGAGAAAGTAAAAATGTTTAACTGCTGTTGATGCAAGTTAAATGCAAAAGTCTGATACAGATTGTCACTTAATTGCATCTTTTTGGGGTATTCGAGCTGAAATGTAGGTCTTGGAAATAGAAAATCTGGACCTCCAAAGACAAATGAAATGTCGCCCTTGATGCAGGGCTATATGTATGTGTGGATTTGGCCTTTTCCAGAGAATATGGTATTGATGGTATGGAATTTATTATTAACCAAATCCTTTGTAACCTGTGTGAAAAAATAACCTTCAAAGGAGTACAGTAGGAACCATTCAAAATGTCCCCACTTCCCTTGATGGCCCCATGGTTGGTCTCCTACAATTCCTTTTTAAACATCAGTCTTTGTAAAAAACTATTCTTTCTCTCATGATTTGTGGACATTAAAGAGGAACACCGTTTGTTTTTTTTACATTGGGCCCTTGATTTTACGTTATTACATCATGTTCTACTCACCCATATTAGATTTGTGTCATTTCGAGCTGTTCTGAAGATATTCCGTTATGTTATATCCAAGTAACGTCTTCCTATGGGCAACGACTTGAAGGCCAAAAATAAACTGTTCATAATGTATTCTTTATGGTACATTCATAACATGTAGGCGAATCACTGTCGCCCAGACATCCGGGGTTATATTTTTTATATTTATATTTTTTTTAAAACAGAGCAGAGCGTGTATGACATCATCCGTGCGCCGGACTGGAGTTGTGACAGGCAGACTGGGCCACAGGCGGCTACGCTCTACCCCTTATATCCATTCGGCTAGCTGATCTGAATCGCTTAATTCCATTTTGAGAGCGAGATCATCTGTGGTAGTAGCACTAGACATCTTCCAGGCATGTGAGTAAAACTAGCAGCAGTTCAGCGGACAGGATGAATGAATGGTAGTCTGCGCACGTGGATGACGTCATACACACTCCGCTTTGTTTTTAAAACATATAAATATAAAAAATATAACCGCGGATGTCTGGGGGACAGTGATTCGCCTACATGTTATGAATGCTGGCGTACCATAAAGAATAAATTAGGAACAGTTTAGTTTTTGCCTTCAACTCGTTGCCCATAGGAAGACGTTCCTTGGATATAACCTAATAGAATATCTGCAGAACGGCTCCAAATGACACAAATCTAATATGGGTGAGTAGAACATGATGTAATAAGGTAAAATCAAGGGCCCAATATAAAAAAAAAAAACGGCGTTCCCCTTTAAGATCTAAAGAGAAGCATTATTTCCTGGTCAGACCCTAATTCAGTAAAGGGTGGAGTCAAGAGTTAAAAAAAAATATGCAAAAGCAAGAACATTTTGAATGGCTGCTACTGTAGATGGCCTACCAAATTTGCTCCAAGAGCCCCTTAACAACCTTTCTAGAAAATCACAAAGACTTTAGGATGCATGATCGATGAATTTATATACTTTGTTCTCTTCTCAGAGAATATTGAAGGTTTATTTTTGCCAGATCAGCAGCTCCAGTCTTCAACTTTTGTATTTATAGAGATGTAAAGAAGCAGAGAACCAGGGATCAGCATACCTTCTATAGAAAGTACCGGTATATCCTCTCTAATAGATTAGAGATACAAAAAAAAAAAAACAAGCCTACTGTAAAACAAGGTCAGTCTCACCTTTTTTATTTCTTGCAAACCGTTGGTAACACCTGAACACAAGGATCAGCACTGCTGCCTCAGTCAGCTGGAAGGTTGCGTAGACCAGGGGGAACAGGTACATGGGGCCAATCACAGCTGGGGGAAAGGCTACCTTCAGTATGGTGGCACACAGTTGGATGTTCTGACAGCCAGTTTCCATAGCAACCGTCCTTCGCTCTCTGAGGGTTGGGGTAGATTTATACATAAATCATGAATGTATGTAGAGAAAGGTTCATGGTTTAATGCATAACTGATGCAGTATCAGCAATATTACCTTACAAGCACAACCTGAGGGTGTAATTTATATTTTTTCGTTTTTTTTCTGATAGACCAACAAAGAAAAGCATAAAGTGAAGTGGATAGAGAATGATAAAACACTTAAATTATTTCAGATAAACATCTAAAGAGAAGTGGTTTGAATTTTAAGTTTAGTATCTTTTGTTGTCACCTTTTAGCTTCAAGTCTTTTGATGTTTTGTACATCTTAGCGCTCTAATTTTTGCTTATTTAGAGTTGCTCAGGTAGCATCTGGGAACATTAGTTTTTAACCCCTTACACCGATTCTCCGACAGAGTTTGGACTTTGCTGGGTCAGTCCAACATGTAAAGCCTACATGCTTTGATCTAAAGCTTTTCTTTGTCTGCCTGGTTGCTTGTTTCAGGCCTGCAGGAAATTCCCCGCTGTCAAAGAACATTGAATCCTTGAAAAGGTTTTCTCCTGGGCTTGCTCTGTGCAGGTCTAGTAAAAATCCCAGCTTTGTGGAATGCATGAAGGTTTGACATGAACCATCTAGGCCTCTTAGATTTTTCTATGATAGTTCTGGCCTGACATCTGCAGTGCTTTTTATTGTTTTTGATGCTGTTTGGACACTGTGGCTCTTTAACAAACTTTAGTAGAGTAAATACCACTACATCAGATACCCAGTTTTATCTATAAAAGGATTTGATCCATCTAACTTCCTATTTATGTGCTGCCCTGTGTTGATACAAATTAAAAGTTTTGGGTCTGCAGCTGCAAAATGTGGAATGTTAAATATTCGTAGCCTCTTGAGGACTTACCGCTGGTTGAGTCTGAAGATAGAGGAGATGATGTAACCAAAAGAGTAGCCAATAAGAGGCATGAGGGCACCGATGGACATGAGAGGAGGCGAGAGGACATTAAGGAGGGAGCCTCTGATTTCAACGCTGGAGATGATGCCAATCACAACAATGGAAATCATCAAAACGCCCAGGCCCACCTGAAAACAGATGACAGTTTTTTTCTTTTTAGACTTTTTTTCAAAATTAATATTACGGATTGTTATCAAAGTTTTCTGCAGTGTTAGTTAGCACCACTGACCTTTGTGATTATCCTTGAATACTTTGGCCGGAAGTAGTTGATTAGGATGCCGAAGCCGCATGGCACCAGAATTAGGACCAAGGATATAATGATGTCCACATAGGGCACTGCTTTCTGGAGGTTGGAGAAGCCCTGGCAGTACAGGTAAAGCATCAGAGGCATCATTCCCAGAGCCATCAGCGTGGAGAAGGAGGTCATCACAATGCTGAGGGAATCAAAAATGCAATTTCAAAATATTTAAATCACTTTTTTTGTCTTTATTCAAGATTCATTTTGCTGGATTCTAGTTGGGTAATATTTAAAAAAAAATTATATTATATATCGATTGAATATGTGCAGCTGATGCCCTGCACAAATCTTATCATTTTAG